GCCAAGAGTAACCATACATCCGGTGTACCGTTGATCTGGCTCTCGAAGCACCGGAGGACATGCCCCCAAGGCGCAGATGAGGCGACTGTGGAGTTGTACGCGAGGGCCTATCTGTGGTATATTCTCTCGGAGGTCGTGTTTCCAGACAGCTCCGGGAACTCTGCCAACTGGGCGTATCTGTTCTTCCTAGCGGACTGGGATGCAGGGTACAGTTGGGGTACGACATCTCTCGCCTACCTATACCGTTCGGTAAGAGAGTGTCTAATTGCGTACCTACCTACGAAAGTGTGTCCATGACATTTTCTTATATCTGATCCTCATTTGATGTTTTGCAGCTTGACGACGCAACGCAGAGGACGGGAGACAAGTCCAATATGGGTGGCTTTGTCTGGGCCTTCTCCATTTGGATGTGGGAGCGGTTGCCGGTGGGGCGTTCGGAGAAGTTGCCAAGACGCCCATGGGAAGACTATGGCGAAGAAGGCGATGAGACTCGAAACCCCACCGTAGCTTACGAGTGGGACGTTGTCAAACTCTACACGGGCCTAAACAAGACTTCGTACAAGACCTACACCAACGAGTTGGATGCTTTGATGCATACACAGGTATATGAACTCGCCCAACACCTTTCTCTTTGATTCCGCTATTGACCGAGAGTGCGAACTTACCAAGGTATATGTAATAGGTAATCTGGTGGCCGTATCGACAAGAACGAGAGTGGGACTTTGATCTGAACGTGATGTGCATAGCGGACCGTGGTACCTGGCGGTGCATCGTGCCCATGATCTGTGTGTACGCCGTCGAGTGGCATTTGCCACAACGCGTGGCCACGCAGTTTGGGATTTATCAGCATACCCCACCGGGCCAGCCCACCGATACCGGCGGCCACGCGCTCCACCTGTGAGCTCTTTGTTCTCCGTGAGATTATCATGTTTCTTGTTGCTTATGATGATCTCATTGCGCTTATGATGATTCTTGTTGCTTATGCCTTGCAGCATGAGCCGGCAGAAGAATCAGTCGATCACAGACTGGGGAGAGGAGCATAAGACTCATGTGACGGAGTGGAACCGATGGAGGTGGCGTAAAGACGTGGAGAGGAGAGTGACTAACTGGGATGATTACCTGGGCCGACACATGAGGTGGTACGATGATGGCCAGAAGCACCGTCTTCGTCTCAGGCCTCGATGGACGGCGGAAGACATCGCGGAGCTGGAGTGGGCTGACCCCGATGAACAGGCATACCAGACCGGCATCAGAGACATGCACAGTGGATTTAGGGAGTTTGCACCCCTCATCAACAGAGTGGTACGTTTGAACCAACGGCCGTATTTAAAATATTTTATTCGTCAACGTGACTGACTTATGCTGTTGCAGTCCGGTGAGCTGAACAGATGCATCTTTGAAGCTCAGATGCACTAGGTCATCTTCCCGGGAGCGTACAATCTGAGACCAGAGTCAGGGGGACGATGAAGGTACAATTTTAGCCTCCTCGGAACAGATGCATCTTGTTCACTTGCAGTCAGTCGATCTGATACTTATTATGACCTTGCTTCATTGTGAGTGCAGAAGTTCGTGCAGCGTTGTCGCAAGCTGGTAGGGCTGCTTGGGTGTGCTGGAGCTGGGTCAGTTGAAGCTCATCAGCCTGTAGCCACACAGGGTATCATCGACTCATCGAGCCATGCTCCCTCGTCGTCTAGGTTGGTTGGGGAGGAGGAGGATGAGGAGGAGGAGGAGGAGGAGGAGGAGGAGGCCACATATGAAGAAGGGGAGGAGGAGGATGAGAGCAACGGGGAGGAGGAGTACGATGAAGATTATGGACCTCCAGCAACTCAAACGTCTCAAGCATCTCAGCTGCCGAAGAAGAGGAATCCGAAGACGAAGGATTTGCTGAGTCCGGAACCTTTCCAGAGACCGATTCCTCGACGGCCCAAGAAGAAGACCGAAGAGAATCGTTCAAAGAGTAAGGAGGACCGTACCTCCAAGAGGGGAAGGAGCAACTGATTATGCTCTTGGATAGTTGGCTCTTTTAGTTTGGTTGAACTTCGTTTGATTGAACTTTTCTAGTGGTTATGAAGCTACGTGGAACTATGTGTTTGCTATTTGTGGATCTATGTGTTTGCTATTTGTGAAACTATGTGGAACTCCGTTTACTAATTAGTTGAAGTTCGTTTGAAATGTTCTATGTACTTCAAATTTGTTAATGTGTATGTGATGCCCAAGTTTAATTGTTTGAGATCTGTGATATTGTTGTCATATTTGTGAAACTTGCTATAATATTATTGTCATATTGAATTTGAAAAGAAGCAAGCAATTGAACTTAAATTCATAAAACACAGGACCCTACCGCCAAGGACCATGGCAGTAGGGTCAGACAGCCTACCGCCAGGGCACTTCAATTCTTCGTTACAGAATCATTACACTGAAAAAACAAGACCCTACCGCCATGGCCTCTGGCGGTAGGGTCGCACAGCCTACCGCCAGGGCCCTTCAATTCTTCGTTACAGAAACATTACACTGAAACAGGACCCTACCGCCATGGGCTCTGGCGGTAGGGTCGCACAGCCTACCGCCAGGGCTCCTGACGGTAGATGCTTAACCACGTTCAGTGCAGTCAAACGGCCGCCGTCCCCCTCCGTCGCACCCCTACGGCCATGGGCCGTGGCGGTAGGCTATCTAACCCTACCGCCATAGGCCCTGGCGGTAGCAAAAGGGTCAAATCTCGAAAAAAATTCAAACAGGGGTCTGATCCTGAAATACTATCCAAAAAGGGTCAAAACATGAAATTCGGCCTCAGGTGCTCGTCACGCTGTAGGCGTCCCGCAAGTTGAAATCGATAGACGGGAGGGGGGGCTGAGTGCAAAAAGTGCGGCGCTGACCGGCTCGGCCCCGCTGGCTCCGCTTGGCTGCTCGTGATAGGCACATGACCAAATGTGCACGTCGCGACAAGTTTATGGATTTCAACCCGCGGGAGGCCTCAAGGGCGTGTTTGGTTTCTTGTGTGGCACCTGCCTCGCACCCGCCATGCAAAATCTAGTGCGTTTGGTGGCCTGTGCGGCCTCCTCAGCCTGGCCCAACAGATGCAAAAAGAGGCCTCTCAGCCAGGCTGAGGGGCACGCAGGAATCGACCGTATCTCCAAGCCAGGCTCGCACCTGCAGCCGCAACTCTCGTCCCGTTTCTCCCTTTCCTCCTCCTCTCTCACACATCAAATTGGATCGAGTAACCCATTGCCGTCGCCGCCGCCGCCTGAGCTCCCTCGTCCACAGCAGTCCGGACTCTCTAGCAGGCACTCCTACACGTCCACGCCGAGGGACACGCCGCCCGATGCCGGCCGAGCTCTGTCACTGGTGCTCCTCCATGCCCACGCCGTCCGCCACCGGTCCGGGCTCCCTAGCCAGCGCTCCTCTATGCCCACACCGGGGACACGTCGGCCGCCACCAGTTTGGGCTCCCTAGCCAGCGCTCCTCCACGCCCACGCCGGGGGACACGCCGCCCACCACAGATCCAGAGGAAGAAGGGGAGAGGGGAGCACCTGTGCGCTGCGAGGCGCAACCGGTGCCGCGTTTTTCCCCTCTCTCCCCCTGAGTTTAGTTCAGATTTTAATTCAGCCTTCTTTTACATGCTCCATGGAATGATCCAGATCCAATTGACATTGTTGAAATTGGGAGAGAAAGGTTCACAAAACTAAGCTCAAATGCAGTCTGCCAAACAACACCTAATGTATATAGCTTCTCTCATGCAACAATACCATACAGTGCACCAAACACGCATCTCAACCAATCTCTGCATCAGCTCAGCCAGGCCACGCCCACCCAGGATCCCTCATGCGATGTAGGCTAAAGCCACCCGGACAACCAAGTGAATGGCGCTGGTCAGGGCCGATGCCGATGCCGACCGTTGTAGGGGGCGTGACGTGACGGGCCCAGAGGCGTGGATAACGTGGAAAGGAAAGCCACCCCACTCTTGATTGGAGCACCTAACCTTCGCCTCTCCTCGCCTCTTGTCTCATCTATCCTAACCAGCCTGACCTAACCCTCCTCCGATCTCCCCCCGTCCTCATCCTCC